ACAATAAATTAAAAAGTTAGCCAGGTGTGGTGGTGTGCACCTGTGATTCCAGCTCCTTAGAAGGCCGAGGTGGAGGGATCACCTGAGCCCAGCAGGTCGAGGCTGCAGGGGCTGTGAGTGTGCCACTGCATTCCAGCCTGGGCGACAGAGTGAGACTGACTCAAAAAAACAAGAGCAAACAATAGCATCAACAAAGCCAGCCTATCCCCACAGCAGCCCATAAACCCACCGGCCATCAACCCATGAATGTGTGATTGGCGGAGCCTTGCAAACAATCCCCTCCTGAAGCTCTCACACCTCCACTGGCGCTCACCTCCAGCAGGGAGCTTGGAGAGGGTGAATCCCGAAGCCATAGCGCCCGTTCCCTCACGCTCTTTTGTGTCTTCTTCTCGCACTCATCACTGGGTGCTTGCACTAATTGTTCAGCTGTCTCTCCGTCTTGTGTTTGCTGCCACTCTCCAGTGCCCAGGGCAGCAACCATCCTGTAATATTTATTCACTGAATACATGAATGGCAGCCATCTGCTTCTCCTGAGGAATACTTCCCAACCTTCTGCTTTTTTACTTCTAAGACAAGATAAATAGGGTCACAAAATGCCCAACAAACACAGATCAGCGGTCCAAGGAGAAACGGGTCCAGCAGCCTCTCTGTGCTCGTGGGGTGGCCATGATCGCGGCAGGGGCTTGCTGGGAAAGAAGCTTCTGGAAAATGCCTGTGAGGAGGAAGGAGGTGATTCTGACCAACGACTCTTCCACAACTTCTGAGTTCACAGGCTGAAGCAGAGATGCAAGGGCATGGACTTAGACCCACAGATATTTTAGTGTGGGAAGATACTTAAGTAAAAATGTAAATGAGGCCGGGTGCAGTGGCTCAAGCCTATAGTGCCAGCACTTTGGGAGGCGGAGGCGAGAGGATTGCCTGAGCCCACGGGTTCGAGACCAGCCTGGACAACTTGGCGAGACGTCGTCTCTACAATAAATCAAAAAACTAGCCGGGCATGGTAGCGTGCACCTGTAGTTCTGGCTACTTGGAAGGCTGAGGCGGAAGGATCTCCGGAGCACAGCAGGTCGAGGCTGTGGTGACCATAGTGTGCCACTGCTCTCCAGTCTGGGTGACAAGAGTGAGACTCCAAATCAAAAATAAAAAATAAAGGCCAGGCTTGGTAACTCAAACCTGTCACCCCAGCACTTTGGGAGGCCGAGGCTAGTGGATTGCCTGAGCCCGCGGGTTTGAGACCAGCCTGGGCAACTTGGTGATATATATATATATATATATATATATATATATATATATACCCCAACAGAGCCTCCAAAATGTTGGGTCAGACTGGGGGTGTGGGTGTCTGGTGTGCAATCCGGTGCTATGAGAAGGATGCAAAGAATTGCACATAAGTTAGACTGGAAAATATGGTTTATTTAAAAGGCAAATGAGAGAAGATTCACCACTCCAAGGTAGGAGAGTGGGCCAAAGCTTAGGAAACATAGTGGTGGCCATAGCTAAAAGAGCACATGGCCACAGAGAGTTTAGTAAAGCAATGGCAACTGGCTGCTGGTTGCTGAATCTTTTTTCTGAGTCGGAGTCTCACTCTGTTGCCCAGACTGGAGTGCAGTGGCTGCTCCCGGCCACCGCAACCTCGACCCGCTGGGCTCCGGCGATCCTGCTGCCTCAGCCTTCCAAGTAGTTGGAACTACAGGCGCGAGCTACCACGCCTGGCTAGTTTTTGATATAATGTAGAGACGAGGTCTTGCCAAGTTGCCTGGGCTGGTCTCAAACCCGCTGACTCAGGCAATTCATTCGCCTCGGCCTCCCAAAGTGCTGAGATTACAGGCTTGAAAAATAGCAGAATACTCTTTAAAAAATAGCAGAATACTCTATTGAAAGGATGAACCATTCCTTATTCAATTAGTCTCTTACTGATGAGCATTCCTGCTATTTCTGATCGTTTGTTGTTACAAAAATCGCACAGCCAGTCATCTCACCCACGGGTTGTTTTGTGTTTTTGGAAGTGCAGCTTCAAGAAAGATCCAGGGATCTCATTCTTAGATCTATTCCAGGCGACTTGGATGCACAGCCAGGTTCAAGTGCTGTTGCTCACGGTGTGTGGCTAAAAGAGTATCCAGGAGCCCAGGACTGTTGTCATTTTTGGAAAGAAGCAAGGTTCTCACCATCCCACACCCCTGCCCACACAACCTGAAAAGATGCAGCTGAGGTTGGTGAATGAATGCGTCACATCTGGAGACTCCAGTCCAACTCGTCATGTTGGTGAGTATCCTACATACTAGCGGGAACCCCTCAAAACCAGGATTGGAGGGCAGATCTTTTGGAGGGCAGATCTTTCGTAGCACAGGCTTCCCCTGCTAGGTAAGTGTTCTAGGAACCCATCGGCATCTGTGGACCAGCTAGCATTGTTGGGAGAGGCTGCATTGTGGAAGAAATGTCCCGAGTTGTGGCAAACTGGTGACTGGTTCAACTTCCACCATGACAACGCACCTGCCCACCCTGCTCGGAGTGTTCAGCAGTTTTTGATGAAAAAACGGCACGACCCTCGTGCCCCACCTTCCCTATTCAGCCTATCTTGCCCCGAGTCACTTTTTTTGGTTTGTTTCTGGATGAAAAAGTCCTCAAAGGGAAACGCTTTGTGATGTGGAAGAGGTAAAAGAAAAAACGGCAGGAGCACTAAAATGCATCAAAATGGACGAGTTCAGAAGCCATGCTGAGTAGTGGAAAAAGCATCTCGACAGGTGTATTGCATCAGACAGAGAGTGCTTTGCAGGTGACTGAAGTTTAAACATGTAAGAACAAACACAGGCCAGGCGCAGTGGCTCAGCCTGTCATCCCAGCACTTTGGGAGGCCAAGGTGAGAGAATTGCCTGAGCCCAGGGATTTGAGGCCCAGCCTGGGCAATTTGGTGAGACCTCGTCTCTACAATATATCAAAAAAAAAATTAGCCGGGTGTGGTAGTGTGCGCCAGTAGTTCCAGCTACTTGAAAGGGTGAGGCGGAAGTATCTCCCAAGCCCAGCAGGTAGACGCTGGGGTGGCAGTGAGCGTGCCACTGCACTCTAGCCTGGGCGACAGAGTGAGATTCTGACTCAAAAAAAAAAAAAAAGAACAAATACACCATTTTTGTCAATAAATTGTTTTCTTTTGGGGAGGGTCCCCTCATCTGCATAAGTGGCCCAGTCTGAAGTAGCTGAGGGGCATCCAGGAATCCAGGCGTGAGGCAGGCAGCTGTTTGTCTGCAGGGAGACCAGGAGCCATCGGCATGCAGGTGTAGCAACAGGTGAGAGATGACTGCGGAAAACTGAGAGTGCAGGCCTTAGGAGAGCCCTGGGGAAGACCTGGGCTCACAAAAGCAGCAGGAAGCCCAAGGAGACTGAGTGGCCAGAGACAAAGGAGAAAAACCTGAGAAGACAAGTCACAAGGCCCAGGCAGCAGAATGTTGAAAAGAAGAACATAGCTGCTGAAAGGTCAGGTACTACAACAGCTGGAAAGTTTCTGCTGGCTTTAGCAACAAACAGAACAGTAAGTACGACTGTTAGGGTCACACTCCTAGTGGGGCCCTCAGAATGTTAGGTCAGGCCTGCTGGGGGTGTGGGGGTGTCTGGAGTCGCATGAAAGATGCAAAGAATTGCACAAAAGTTAGATTAGAAAATATAGTTTATTTAAAAGTAAATTAGAGAGAGCGAGAAACATTGACCTCCCCAAGGAAGGGAAGGGGGCCAAAGCCAGGAAACATGGCGACACCAATAGCTCAAAGAGCACACGCCCACACCAAATTCTGGTTGCTCGTGGTTGAGTCCTTTTAACCATTTCTCTTTGATGGGGGAAGGTCATTAAGGTGATTGGGGGGTGGTCTGTTCCACATCATCCCAAAGGGGCAGGTAAGCGCAGGTACTGACATCGGGATGGACAGCAGGCAGATGGATGGGTTAGTCACATGATGGCTGCCAGGGTGGTGGCCTAGGTGGGCGGAGACAAGGGGAGGGGGTCTTCCTGCAAGAGACTTGTCAGACATTTGCAATCCACAACTCCTCGACTAAAAGGTGGTCTATTATCATTTCTATGGCTCTGTCCTTGTTTTGCATCTGATGGAGATTTGCCGAGGGGGTGGGGGAGCCCGCGAGCTTGGCCTGCTGTGGAATGCCTGAACGATCCCTAAAACCTGCATCTGTGTCTAACCTGTGCTAGATTCAAAGCGTGTCAGGGATAAAGTCTAAGCAAAAATGTCTATGCCGAGGCAAAAAGACTACGCGAAACTAAGTTTATTCTAGGTTTCTACCGGTACCTCCTTTCCCTGGGTGACCTTCAACGTGGACGACTTGGGACGGACGTTAGAAAGACAGACTCCTGGGTCCCAGCCCTAGATCCTGACTCAGTGGGTCTGAAGTGGGGCCTAGAAACCTGTACCCAGAATAAGTGCCTTTAGACAACGTCCATCCAAATCCTCAGCGGCCCTTTCACAGTCGAGGCAACGGGGCTCCAGCCGTCCCCCGGGGTCCTGGTGGGAGAGTCACCGCTCAGTTCTGGGTGGGGGCCGGCGGTCCAAAGGGCGTTTGAGGAGGGTTTGCTTTTCGGGGGTCGCTAAGGTCAGCAGACGCGACCACGCCCTGCGTTTCCTCCTCCGCAGAAGACGTCGTGGATTCGCGGTTTTGCAGGGGTCGCACCTGTCAATCTTCAGGATGCCCCGCCCCTTCGCCCCGCCCCTCGCCCCGCCCCCTCGTCCTTTCCCCGCCCATCGCGCCGTCCCTCCCGCGGCGCCCTTTCCCCGCCCCGTCCCTCCTCGCCCCGCCCCTTGCCCCGCCCACCGCCTCGTCCTTTCCTCGCCCCATCCCTCCGCGCCCCGCCTCTTCCAGGACCCTGGGGGCGGAGCTTCGCCGCCGCCCCGCCCCTCGCGCCGCCGCGCGTCGCCTGGGCGTTCCCGGAAGCGCCCTGCTGATTGGCCGGTCGCGGCCGCGGGTTGGCCCGGGCTTTTGGATCGCTTCCCTGCGAGCGGGCAAGCATGGCCAGGCGGGACGGACCCCTGCGCGAGCTGCGGGGGCCCCTGCTCCCTCCCAAGGGCCGGGCGGGCGAGGACGACGACGACGGCCCGCCGGAGGACGCGGAGGAGGACGACGACCCTGCGTTTGTGGACGCCGAGGAGCTGTGCAGCGGGGCCGTGCGGGCCGGCGGCCTCCCGGGGCGCGTCCGCGGGGAGCGCGGGGGGCCGGGGGGG